TTCCGAATACTCGTTTGATTTTAAGACTCCAACCCTTGTTTTGTAACTTTAATTGGAGAATAAATTAAGGATAATGCGAGCATGCGTTGTAAGGACGAGACCTTGCTCTGGCGATGTTCGTCATACGAAGGATGAAGGCTGAACATGTTTTCACCATAATCGAAGGATATTACCTCGGAAACAGCGTCAAAATGAATGTTCCAGTAAAGCCAATCGACAACTGGTCAAGAGGAATGCGCAGTCATCTTCTGGTGGATTCGAACTTTGAATATCTTCACCAAACACTTTCACTCGAAATAGAAGTAAACTCAACAATAAGAGTTACTTACCGAAATCTTCCTAGTTTCAGAGATTTTTATAGAAGTTGTTTGACCTTGTATTCGAACTTGGTCATATTGGTAGGAAGTCCTAGGGGAACGCACCTAGTCCAGAGTCCATAGTATAAATGATAATTTCAAAAGTCGGATTGTGGACGTGGTACATTTTTAGACGTTTCCCCGGTATTGCCAGTGAGCATTGCCATTCTTAGCACCACACTACAACTTATCAAAGAGACAAGTGAAGCGTATCATTTGGCCAATTGTTTGCTAAATATTTGTGGTATCCTTATGACCTGGGCTATTCAACAATCCTATATCCTCATATCACTTCTTCACTATCACAAATTCTTAATTGCTTACTTAAATGCAGTATGATGTGCCCTTTTTAGCAGATCTCATGATAATTTTCCAAACTCCACGCTGGCTTTCTTACTCCCACCTCTGCCACCCTATCTGTACAACTCGAAGCTTTGTTTTCCACATTTTCTCAAGCTTTTGATGACACGCATACTCTTTACTTTCTGAGTAGGCCCGTAAAAGTAAGAATTCTTAAGCTGGATGGAGCATGGGTAATTCTCTTGGTCAAGCCTTTGCTTCATGGACCACGTTTATGACTTCCTATGGCCTAGTCTTTTGTGTGCCAACCCACAAATGTCGTGGTTCTGCGTTAAACCTAATCAAATCATAGACTTGGCACTATGGCTATGGCACGATAGGTGCGGCGGGGACTAGAGTTAGTTGGCTAACCGTAAACGTGTTTGATCATATACCTGGTCCATGAAGCAAAGGCTTCACCATGATAATTACTCGGGCTCTTTAGCCTCGAGTTACTCTCTTATCTAGTTTGAGAATCCTGATTTTTAGAAGCCTATTCAGCGAGGCAAAAGTATGTATGCCATCAAAGACTGGAAACGTGTTTAGGGTATATATATATATATATAGATATAGATGAGTAGCCCACAACTATTTAGCAGACACCCGGTCAAGGAATCGGCTTTATTTGACTTGAGTTGTAGTGTGTTGCTTAGACTGGCAATGTCGACGAAACATCTGGGAATGTAACACATCCACGGTCAGACTCTGGAGATTATCATGAATAATATTGAGTCCAGACAGGGTGCGTTCCCCTAGGTCCTCCTGCCAATATGGCCAAGTTTCGAAAACAAGGTAAAAAAACTATTATACATCGAAAGAAGGCTGCGACCAAAATAGAGGCCACAACATCTTGGTCTTCGTATCTACATAATTCACTTTAGTTACCTTTTGCTGTAGATACCCTTCACATTGTTCAATCAAGTGTCAGTAAATAGTCACATTTCGATTGATTTTAGTTACGATCTGTTTAATCTTTGCTTTGAGATATACAGTCCTAGATTATTTCGTGTTTTCTTGATCTAAAACTTGCGAACAAATGGGTCCAGCTTACAAGTTGTAAATTTTGCGCTGAGAGTTGGGTATAATTCACCAAATTGGTGTTATTTAGATAAAATTTTGTCATTTTTTAACTCACACAGTTCAGGAGTCTTTTGCATCGATCGATTATCCCCGGGTCTCTCTTCGCACTCTTCAAGTTCTGACTCACCACTCAACCGTTGGTCCTCTTCTCCATCTGCAGAATTTGGGGATCGACGCACCAACTCGTCTAGAAAAGTCCCAGTCAATATAACCTCACCGATATCAAAGACAAGAGGCTGTAATTGTCTTTCGCGTCGTAAACTTGCTGGAAGTACTTCCATGCCAGTGGCTGAGGTCGAGGCAATACAGAAAGATAGTAACCGTTTTATTTCTCCTATCGATATTCCTTGTATAACTAATGTTGCAAGTGAAGTGAAGGGTGATAAGAGTGATGATTTACATCCAAAAAAAAATTTAAAAATTGGATGTAAAGACGAAGATGATAAGATATCAGCTTTCATACTTCGGCCTGGTGAGCCAAACGCCATCTGCACTCAGGTCCATTCCTGCGAGAGATATGTAGGGAGGCCGAAGGTACGAGCTGGATTACCGCAAGCTAAATTGGGGACTGGCAGAGGATCGCACAAGCCTGCTTCAAACTTGGAGACAAGTTGCTTCCCACTTAGACTTAGTCCTTCTACTCCGTCTGCTTCACTGCTCACTCCAGGAAAACCTTCCAAGACACCCATTGAGGTAAGTGCGTAAAATCGTTTTACTAGGTCTAAATCCTACAACCTAGTCTTTTAAGCTTGTATATCATAATTGACACACTAGAATAATGGTGATATTCAATTTAGTCAAGTATAATTAGGTAGCCACTTGTATCGGCTTAAGTAACGATAATAATAATCTTTGGGATGCTGATAATGCTTAACTCATCTACTCATCATTATTCTCTC